GTTGCGCTTAACGATGAATATGAGAGCACAGCTTGCCGGGAATGTACGCGCCCAAGAATTTTCTGATGTTCTCTTAAAATTGGGTGAGGGAACGCTACCAGTAGACAGTGGCCAGGTGGTTCTCTACCTGAGATAATTGGGAGAGTGGTGACCACCTTAGAAGATTTGATTCGCCTGGTGTACGGGGACATCAATAGGATACCGCACCAAGATAATTCTTGGGTGTGTGAACGAGCCATTTTAACACCCAAAAACGACCAAGCTTCAGCGATCAATGAATGCATTCTCGCGGAAATTGAGGGAAATGAAGTGATCTACACTGTAACACTGTGGTCGACCAAGATCACGCCACACATTACCCCGTAGAATTTCTCAATTCCCTCAGTGCAAGTGGACTGCCAGCGTACACCATTAAGCTAAAGGTCGGTGTCCCAATTATGCTACTTCAGAATCTCACTCCGCCAAAACTGTGCAATGGGACCCGGCTCAAAGTCGTCTCGCTGCAGAGAAATATCATTGATGCGGAAATTCTAACGGGTTGTGGTGTCGGCGAAACAGTGTTTATACCACGTATACCACTGATTCCTCACAATTACCCCTTTCAATTCAAGCGCGTGCAGTTTCCTGTGAGCGTGTGCTTCGCCATGACAATAAATAAGTCGCAGGGGCAGACACTGAAGGCTGCGGGTGTCGACCTCAGGACGAGCTGCTTCTCACACGGACAACTGTACGTCGCTTGCTCCCGCGTCACCAGTCCTGACTCGCTGTACATATTGAATGAGACCGAGGGAAAAGCAATGAACAATGTTTACAAAGAATTGTTACAGTTAATTATAAAACTTCTAGTTATTCGAAATTTCCTTATTAACCTGACGTCTTTTAGCAGTAAATTAACTACATAACCTTCAAATTTTGAGTTTACTAAGCTAAATAGTTTTTGAGGTAGGTATCTAAGCTTTAGTATAAGTATGGGATGCGTCTTTTGAGTGTTTCTGTAAACAACAAACACAAACAAACTGTAACAAACTATCACTAAATATTATTAAAATAAAAGTAGTGTACACGTGTACAGCTACAGCTATAGTTTATAAAAAATTTTTTTTTGATCGGTGAAATATACGGGATGAAAAGTTTTTGTTGTATAGGTGTTAAGTCTAGGCAACATATAGGCTATAATTTATTTTGGAAAATGGAACACCTTATGCAGAACCGCAATATACCAGCTAAAGTATAAGAGATATAAAAATGGTGCCATAGCAAAAAATATTCCACGTGAAGAGTATTTTCTGCTGTGAGAATAAATTTGAAGATCTGGAACACCTGTTGTGGAACTCCAAAGCCCAGCGAAATTATAACATATATAGGAATGACGTCTTAGCAAAAGTTGTTTAGTCTGATGGGCATTTCCTGTTGACTTACAAAAATGAAAGATCTGAAACGTCTCGAATCGTCTCGCGCATTACGTTGCTTTCCCGTCCCCAGGCTCTTTGAATTCGATTTTGACGACCCCGTTGTCGCTGGTATAAGCAACAGGATCCGCGTACGAAGTCGCGGGCATATTAGCGGGTAGATATATATATATATATATATATATATATATATATATATATATATATATATATATATATATATATATATATATATAGTTTTTGTAAAAGAAAACAAGAAATATTGATTTCTATTGATAAAATTGCATGGAATGAGTTGAGTTGAGTGTCTGGAAAACACTGTCTGTCATATTAAACACTGTCGTGACGTCACTGATCCAGCCTAAGTGTATTAATCTGTGTCACTGATTAAGAGAACTAGCTAATGTGTTGTGTTATTTCGAAAATTTTCAAGTTATCATTACGATTCGATAATTATCGAGTTTTGTTCCGAATTTTATTGAAAAGGCATCATAGAAGACGAATTTAGTAAAAGCATAAAGTACTAATCTACCAAGGATAAATAAATTGATGGTGGCAGAAGTTTTTGCATGCAATCCCAACTCTTGTTCTGCTGAGTTGAGGAATGTTAAAACAATAATGTAAGTACCTATTAACAACTTTTGTTTATACAAAAACATAATACCAGGTCAGAGTGTATTTTCATAAAACATAGTTTAGTTTAACTATAATTACAATCATTAGCAATCATTAGTTATAATATCTAAGGTAATTTATTACAAAATTTGACTTACGATACCCTTCACCTCATGATGTTTTGTTTTGTATTAAACGATAGTTAAAAATAAATGAAATTTACATCAAAATGATCTTCACAGAAGAATAGTCTGGTTTTTGTAAATAGTGTATTCGGGTATCTTCTTGCCAGTTTTAACCAAGTATTTCTTATATTTAAATATTTGGCACTTGAATCCGTAACATTCACGGAGTTCTTATGCTCGTATTTTTGTATTCAGGCACAACACAATAATTTAGATGATAACTCATTATGAAACATTAAAAAGTATCTTATTCATAACATAAACATTTTTCATTGTAACTTACTATCATGTCATATCAAATACTTAATCTTATTATTAACTACCGTGAAACCTGTCAACTTTACCGTTTTTGGAAGGACTTAAAAGTCTAAGACCAATTTTCCAACATAAAAGGTACTCTCAGACTGAGCGTCACTGTTAAGTATGATATTATAATCTTCATTGATTTAGTATCTGTTAGACATTTAAAAAATACTAACATTATATAGACAAAATACTCAAAATTAGAAAATGGCAAAGTTAACCTTACGTTGTGACGACTTTGCCATCGGGGCAATAAAAATATTAAGATTAGACTTCAAAGGGATGATTGGAAGATAAGTTTATCGCACAATATAATACATAATAATCGGAGCGACGATTTGCTTCTTTACAAGTAGGTAACAAAATTTACTCTAATGGCAAAGTTGCTCACCCATTATTCAATTTTTCATACCAACTTGTAAACATGTGTTGCGGTTGTCAAAAATCCTTGATTACGAACTTTACTTAATTTTTGAAGTAAAAATTCTGTATTGGTTATAGATTAATTAAATAGTATGATATTAAAAAAGTCACGTTTTCTTGTAGCGTTTTTTTTTGTGTAATCCTTATTAAACCTACTTATGTGAAATATAATGATACGTCGTAAAGAATTTTCACTTCGTACATGTGTACACAATCACACGCATATTTTCTCATCATTCATCATCTTGCCACAATGATTTCTTTATCATAAATATATCAAACGAAAATACTCTTGTCTAAAATCAAAAATGAAATTGATGCAATAATAAACTTTAATTAATTATAGTAATTAAAGACCACAAAGAAAGCTTGTCACAATAATTGTAACAAGTATTCGTTTTTTTTTTTACTATATTTCGTGCCAAATCGATTGAGAAAAACGGACGATGAGCAGTGTGTCAAAAGGCGTAACTTACAAAATCTCAATTTAGGTGTGATAACAATATTTAAATATTGATATTATTCACACTTCTAGGTCAGCACTTATGTTTTGTTTTTTTGTTTCTTAAATAATATTGTCTGTGGTTTCTATAAACATCGTAAAATCTTACGGTACATCGCGGAAAATGTGTTATATTTTATATTTCAATTTATGGTGAGTAACGCAGCAATTGATTTAATAACAGTTTTATATTAAAAAATTATTTGAAGCAATATAATCACCATGTTGAGCTTTTGCATATTCATCCCTTAAAAGTAAACAAAACGCGCCTTACGTCAGTTCGTTCTAAAAGAAACGTGACAATGGCAGCCAGAGATGAGTCACTTTTTTTGGGCCCGCCCGCATGCACCTAATAAAAATAAAGTTCTTACATAATATTGAAAATAAAGTTTTATCTTTTGAATAAGTACGTACTTATTCGGTGTCGTTATCACTCGAATCTTTATATGTGTTATAAATAATGCTTTTTGTAGTTAAATTAATAAAGTGCTTTATAACAATAGATGAGTTTTCTTCTACAGCGATCTTTTACATAACTTTTTAATAATATCTAATAAATATATTTATATCAATATAAAAAAAATTAAAAAAACCATTATAAATAAAGAAAGTAGTACATATAAAAATTACCTATATATTCAAAGTTTGTAGCCCCTGGTTAAACGACCGAAAGGTCAATGTTCGTTTTTCTCAATCGATTTGGCACGAACTATAGTCATCATTAGCTATTATTTTATTATGATCAGATAAAAAAATTGTAATCAACCCTAATATTGTTTTCCCGCAAAACATTAAATGACACTGTCCTTTGATTGCAAATTAATATAAACACACTAAGTTGAAATTATGAAAAACACTGAGTAATAAAAATATTATTAATGTCTGGTATAATGCAATAAAATAATATTATAGATTTCACTTTTTAATCGATTGACAACACATTAGGTAAAATCGGTCTAATAGTCTGCTACGGTGAAACATACATACAAAATTTACATGCATAGAATGTCAAGTTTAGAATCCTTTCTTTGAATCGCCGTAATTGATTAAAAATATAGATTGAAAGTGCCAACCCTTGGTTGTAGCAAAACATGGTAAAGTAACCGTTACATCGTGGCATTATTAGTATGGTTACTTTGCCAAGTCAGTTTTGTACAAAATATTAAGACCACCAAGTTAAAAACGAAATATTACATTTCCTAACCATTAACATTATCTTATTACAATGATATAAATAACTACATTCAGTATTTCAGACAAAATCAACAAAAGTTCTGGAGCACTGAACAATGAAATTACGTCGCCGGCACAATTCCGGGTTAAAATAAAATGTCAAAATTAACTTTCATGTTGCCATATCGAAAAGAATGCCTTTAATTTTCATCCAAAGAATGACATATCTCGAAAAACGTTTCGTTGCCAGTGTTAATCGTAAATTTGTCCGTACATCCCTGATGGCAAAGTTAACTTCCATTGGTAAAGCAGCCAGATGACTATTACAAAACTTTAATATCTACGTCTTACAAATATCGTAACATTGTATAAAAATATACTTATCTTGGATCATAAATATGACAAAACCTCTTTAAGTCTTCGTACAATATTTACATCGGTAATATATATGTACTCACTAGAAGTGGTGCCCATAGTTAAATGATTTTTGACCGATGGTAACTGCTCAATGCGCTTACATGAGCTGTGAATAATTTTACAGCCTATATTTACAAATTCCTTAGCATTATCAGCATTTACACCTGCACCTGGCATAATTTCAATTTTATCCCCATAAATAGTAATTAAATTACGTAATAATTTAATAGCATTCATATCACCTGCCGAAGATTTTTGACCACTCGATAATAATCTTATAAAACCAAGGTGAACGATTTTTGCAAGAGCACTATGAGGATCACTGCATATATCAAATGCTCTGTGGAATGTAACTGGTATGGGATGTGCCGCTTGTAAAATTTTAACACAGTTTTGCTCATCAATCTCTTGATCTGCTGTTAATGCACCAAAAACAAATTTATCAACATGCAAAGTTTTGTAAAATTCTATATCTGATAGCATAGTATCCATTTCTTCTTCCGTGTAGCAAAAATCTGAACCCGTCCGGCATCTTATCATCACATTCACTTTAGGTTTCTGTAAGCAATAAGAATGATTATAACTATATTATGAATAAAATATGGCTGCCAATAAATCCTCAGAATGACAAGGAAATGAGATACCTTCAATAAACTTGGGCAGCTGCACTGGGAACAAGTTTTATGTATTACCTTTTTGCAAGCAATATTGCTATTCTGTAACAAAAAAGCACTTAAAAATTGATGTTTTTTGTTAATGTAAGTTTATTACAATACAAAAAATTAACACAAACCATTTTTTGTATTTCTATAACAAGCCCAGGAGCAGGAGTTAAACCGCCTTCTGATAATGAACTACATACTTCCAACTCATCAGCACCACCATGGATTGCATTGATTGCAGACTGCAAACTATCTACACAAACCTCAAGCATTATCTAGAACAAAGACACGAGTTAATTACATAAATTCTTAAAGCCCTTATTTCTTAAATTTCACAACATTTCTCTAAACAATATATAGATTAAAGATAAAATATAAGAACCATCGAATTCAATTATATGTAATTGATCTTTCATACTCAATTCCAAACATATGAACTCATCCTTTTTACATGCAATCAAAAATTTATTATAAATTTATTATTGTAGTCATCAATAATTTGAAGCAAACTTTGAACTCGAACTAATACTAGGCCGACCCCACCTTTTTTTTTTTTTTTTTTTTTTTTTTTTTTTTTATAGAATAGGGTGACAAACGAGCACACAGTCCACCTGATGGTAAGTGGTTGCTGCGGCCCATAGACATCTACATCTATCCTCCATTAAAAATCAAAATGCAGATGCGTTGTCACCCGTGAGGACTGAGATGGAATGCCTCGTTTCCAGTAAAAAAGGGTCTCCGGTTCTCTACACTCACCATACGAAATACAGCAGCATTAAGCTACTATTTCACGCTGGTATTCTGTGAGAGCGTGGTCCTTCCCCGGTCGAGCCGACCCATTCGTGCTACAACTATACTCACTAATATAACTGAATGGCTCGACCCCACCTTAGCTTCAAATACGCAAATACTTGCAAATTCGCGAACATGTGCCACGAGATTTTAGATTATATATTCACAGAAAATGTACTAGGTTTTTAAATCTACTAATGGTATTGTCTGAATCATTGTGGGAAGTTCATCCCAAACATATTCGTCAGCTATATATATAACGTTAATAAGATGTAGAATCGATTACTAGTTTTTAAATTGGTAATTGCCCCAATGTTCACTTATCAAAATAAGATAAAACACAAAATAAAGCGTTGAAGGATTTATCAAAAGTTCTACAATAAATGTAATAGAAAGCAAACTCAGCGTTCCTCCACTGTATTTAAGAAGATTATATCTAGCTTATAAATAATGTTTTAAGTCAGCTCTGTTTTGAACAATGTTAAAATTGATTTGCTGAAGCAACTTTGCACTCTCTATGAAACAAGATACGCAATAAAATGCCACTAGATATTAGTTAAATCCTATAATAAGGCTAAAATTATGATTATACATTCATCTCCTTTTCTCGAATCATTTTCGCTTATTATATACATAAAATGTGGTATCAAGTAAATTAAAGTTTGTAACACAATCCAAGAAATTCTATGAAATTTTTTTCTTAAAGTGAATGTTATTGAAAATCTTTAAAATAAATGTCACGATTGGCATAGAATCTAATCAGATGGATCAATGAATGCTATGTTGCAAAGAGCAGCATTTTTCGACCCATCTCGAGCAGTTTCTAGATCTTAAAGTTACGAATAACGTTCGTATACGCGTATGACGCTTGAACTCATTGCAATATCCGAATAGCCTTAAGGTATACCGCAAGCTATAACTGGAACAAAATTATTACATAATCGGATAGCAAAACTGCTATTCAACATTTGGCTTAATCCGCCTTTGGAACCAGACGTATTTCAATAGCCTATACCATACTTTCGACAATACATCAGGTTCAGTCTACGCAACATGTGTGCAAGAGTGCAAGGAATTATCGGTCTATTAAGTAACGCGGAGGCAGAATAATTAAAAAATTATAAATGGTGTAGAGTATAATATTGAGCCTTGAGACTACTCAAAATTTCTGCCAAAATTCATAATTCATGTTATATCGAACGGAAAAATCAACGCTCTAAAACGAAAGGTATTTGGTACAAAACGATCCAGAGTGAACCTCCCCAAATATCTTGGTTTATAGATAAAAAAATTAATTGAAATATGTATAAATTCCATCAAATATATTTTCTTATTTGATGAAATAAGATATATATGTTTGATGGAATTTATATATTTTTTGAAAAGAACTGATACGCCTATTATGAAACTTATAAAGTAATAGAAAGCTTACATCAGTTTTTAATGGAATGTGAGCGGAATCACAAGGGGCTAGGGAATGATTTATAAGGACATACAAGATAAAATATCTACAATATGGGTATTGCACAACGCGTTCTACATGCCCCCACCTCGGATATTGCATTGAGTATATGCAAATTAATGGTAAATGTATCGATTTTAAGTAATTTATAATGGAATTGACATGTTCACAAACAAAAATCCCTAAATAAATAAAGAAAAAAATCTGTAGCAAATCGATTCGGTTCGGGGATCCCTACATCCGACGTTGCAAACTCGGCAAACTACGTAGATCCATCCAGTGTAAAAAAAAACTTCCGCCACTGCTCTGAGTGGCAGGCGCAGACTGCCGTCAACAGATACCCGATTATGTGAAAGGCCCTATGTGTTACCTAAATTATGATCTCAAAATGAAATAGAAAATGCTATAACCGAAATTAAAGTTAAGTTTAAAAATAATTACTGACGCAAACACAATTTAAACAAGACGTATCGAATTTAAACTACAAAATAGAGCAATTAGAAGAAAAATGCTTTATTTTCTAAGTTGAAAAGAAAAATGCACAAAGAGATCCAACACATACATAAAATGTACACCAACCAAGCAAACGTATGATACAGTATTAATTCTAAACGGATTTACAGAGAGTTATTGGGAAACACACGAAAAAATAATGGAAAGAGTTCTAAATATATATTATTTTTACATAGATTTATCAGATCATATAGAAGAACTAACATTCATAAAGGACCGCTGAAAATCGAACGAATTAGAGAAAGAATGAAAAAATATATCTTAGATAACTATACACATCAAAACTGTCTAGAAATATTTTGTATAAAGTTCTTAAGAGAAAATATTGCAGCATTAATTTTGATATAAATATATGGTAAAGTTGAGAATTAATATTAAGTACTATGTTAGACGAAAACACGATTCCGTAAACATTTTTCGACATATAAAAAATCCAGTTCCCTCCAAACCGAACAATAAACCGCTAGTATTAAAAAAATACGAGTACTTCATGATTAAAACTACTTTTACGGATTTTATCGCGTTTATTTTTACTTTTTATTTTTAATTCCCGACGTTTCGGGCGCTTTCCAGCACCCATGGTCACGGGGGACTGAGATGACTGACGTCCCGATGTCATTGTTAAACCCGGAGTACCTTCAGCTTTTTTAATTATTGTTTATGGTCCGATCTATGCAAAATGAATTGACTATGTCCTGAGGTCTTGCAGTGGTATGCTTGGGTTTAGTTTTAATTTTATTGATTATAGGATCCCAAGCAGGTGGTAGTACCCAGCCTCCTTCTCTATTGAAATTAGGATGTTTTTTAATTTCAATAGCCTCACGTATCATCCTTGGTAGGAATCGGTGTTCTTTCGCGAGGATTTGTGGTCTATCAAATCTGATGTAATGGTTGGGGCCGTCTAGGATATGATCACAAACTGCAGACTTCCCGGAACGTTGATGCTTCACATCAGCTATATGTTCTTTTACGCGGGTCCTAATTGATCTTTTGGTTTGTCCTATATAAGAGAGACCACATTCACAATCAAGCTTGTACACTCCTGCATCTTGTAGAGGAATATGACACTTGACGGATGGTAGGAACTGACTAATCTTCTTCGGCAGCTTGTAGAATGTTCTAATAGAAGCTCGCTTCAAGATATAGCCAATCTTGTCTGTGACACCTCTGACATATGGTAGTACAGCAGGCACACGCTAGACTGTGGCCGGCTTCACTCGGTCACTGTGACGTAGGCGCGGGACCCGAAGCTTGTTGTCGTGCAGAACTTGCTTGACGTGCTGAAGCTCGGCGGCCAGGTGTTTGCTGTCACAGAATTTCGATTTACGCCTAGGACGTTGAATTTTATGGGAGAGGAAGATAAGATCGTGGTAAGAGAAAGACGCAGATAGTTGTCCATGCGAAGCAACCCGGTCAGAAGGGAATACCCCTTCTCTTTTAGACCTTATTCTTGCTTATTGTATTATTATACTATATGCTATTAGGCGAATGGTGAGTAGCAGAAAGTGGAAGAATATGTAAATTAAAAGATGCCACCAGGGAGAGCAATTTTTTGCTACGAAAATCGTTCTTTAACAGGCATGTGTTAAAGTCACCTAAAATAATGGTATTATCATAAAGCGGAGTTAGATTTACAAGTTTTTCTTCCAAAGAAGAAAAATAATTTATATTGCGAGAGGGGGGATAATAGACCCCAAGCAAAGTCCTAGAATGAATAACAGGAATTTCAATAAATAAATGTTCAGCAAAATTTGTGTATATATTGGGTGAATGATCAACTATTTTATAAGGAATGTCAGCTCTCAAATAGATTGCCACTCCACCATAACCTTTGCCGACCCTGTCATTACGTATAAGTTGAAAACCAGGGAGACAATACTGTACCGACGGAAGTTCAGGCTTTAGAAACGTTTCAGAAACAAGTATGGCATCAACATATTTAGAATCGAAGGTTGATAAAAGATCAGCGTAATGAGCATGAATGCTTTGAGCGTTAATATGGACTATATTAAGATTTTTACTATAATTACAGAATACGGCTACTAGTTGATCATGTAAATGAGTGGAATCATCGCTTAAGGCGCTTTTATAGGTCTTATCGGATGAGCTAGAAGAAGAGCAAGAAAAATAACTATCATCAAATTCTAAAATATCACACATGCTAATCAAAACTATAACATAAACTAAGCTATAACAAAATCAATAAAAATTAAATATATACTTGTATAATGTATAACAAATAAATATTATATAAGTCTGGATATAATACCTACAAAATAAATAATAATATGTTATGAAATATTATGAAACTGTAAATATATTAAAATTAAAATAAAATTGCCAACAATTATGCACTTCACAAAACATTTCTTTCATACCTGCCGGCAGTGGCATCGGTAGAATTTTATATTTAGATAACTTACTTAAGACTAATTAATATAATAAAAAAAAATATAGAAAAGCACAGTCTTACCATAAATAATAAGACAGACAAGTATTATCTACGGA